CCACCAGTAGGTGATCGGTGTTCGGGGTTCCAAACTTAGGCTTTTAGACTGCGCAAAACCTGTGGAGTCCCTCTTGATCTGTCCGGGCAACAGAGGCTTCCTTGGCATCGGCGCAAAACATCTCAAGATATCTAGGAGTGGTCTCGGAGCAGCGGGCGCATCCATTTCCCGTTTCTCTTGCCAGCTAATTTCCAGTGTGCTACAGAATTGGATATCTTAAGCCTTCTCAAACAAGTCCAAAACGTTTAGCATGACGCTGTTGCAATGCAGCTTGTTATTGATATTCTGTATCTCCCACAGCTGTTTCGCAATCCTGAAACCTTGGCAGCGTGATCTCCGTGTCAGAAATGAATGTGAGCTCGAGAGGGCAGATCTATGATTCCCCAAAGTTTTCAACCCTTACCCTTCAACCACCAGGTCGTAATGCCATCTGGCAGATTCGACGAAAACACACCCACACACACACACACACGAAATACAAGCCCGGACCTTTCAGCCACAAAGTCCTACTGCCATGGTAGACGACAAAGGAACAACCAATTGAGGAACAACGCAGGATCTGACAAAACCTCCGGCACCCTGTCCCTGAAGCCTATCTAGGGCCCAGGGCTAAGAAACGCAACCCCAGTTCCAGAGCATGTCCGATGTACGAGACCACTCCTGCCATGATTCGGAGGGAGTGGCGGGATGCTCTTCGGAGATCACCTGCCCTCAATTTCAGACGGAGTCTTTCTGGTGCCTGGCCTTACAGGGCTGGAGGCTTAAGAATCTGTGATGCGATACTGTCGGGTTGGAGTTCGGTCGCTTGAAGCTCTGGTGTTGAAATGGCACTTTCCTAGGGTATACCCCCATGAAGCAAAACCCGAGAACACTCAAAAAGCTGAAGGCAAAACTAGGCTCAACGGCAGAACGACCCATGGAAGATTCACGGTGTGAGCAGCGATGCTCCCTTTCCGGCTTGCAGATTCGAGCCGGGTGTCTCCGAAGCACATCCACGGAATCCCCCCAGGACGCGAAAAATTTGCTCCCAAGCTCCGAGCTCAGCGTGCGCCCCCTGACCCGAATGCCACCCCAACCCCGAAAGGTCCGGCTCTGGAATCTCTGCGATTTATCACGCTAGCTTTTCAAGGCTTCGGGTTACCGAGGGTGTAGTCATCCTTGTGGACACACATATTCCCTGAAGCCCAGTCAACAGAACACACGAGTCACGAGACCCTACAAACGCTTAACGATGAAGACTCTCTACAAGTGGGAACTCCACTGATGGCTCGTTGCAGGAGCTCCGGCCACACAGCTGTCGTCATGCAGTAGTACCGAAGATCCATCATCCAGCCCTCCTGAAAGTAGAGCAGGTTCGGACATAACCACTAATCCAGTGCGAACCTTGCCACGTTTTGTTTTAGGATTTGATGGATCTTCTCAAGCTCCCCTTGCATGACTTCCCAGACGGCGGGCGGCCCCCGAAAATCTGCATTGAAATGCAAGGCTTCAGGGCCTCAGGAGCAGCTAAAAAGCCGCAAATCCCACATTCTGGAAGACTACATCCGCGGTCACACGCGTGCACCTTCTGAGGTACTTGCTGCCTGCCCTGTGCTTTGCTGGGAATAACCGACCCAATTACTTTTACATCAAGTGTCGGAGCTCTTTACATGCACACGTTCCAAAAGATGCAAACTTGATGCACTGCCGTCCGACGCACTCCGTGCTCTCCGGATGTAGCCAGCTGCGACGGCTGGCAGCAAAACTTGGCAAGGTTGGACCTGGCCAACGGACGTCAACGAGGGCTCGGAGGCTCAAGGGCTTTGAGGGTCGGAGCTTTGATTTTGTCTCTGTACGACGAAAGGCTACAGGCAGAGAGTTGTGACTGGTGTCCCGGACCCCCAGCAGGAAGAAGGCGATGCTTCCTACCAAGCCTCGTACCAACACTGTTGCAGAGCCACCTTCCGCAACCTACCAGCCTAATTTGAATGGCTTTCAGTTGCAATCGCTATGGGAGCCCGGCACCAGTCGATTAAGAAGCTTCCCGGCCTACACACAACACCTAATGCTGCTCCGGCACTGCTACTGCAAATCAACCATGTTCTCCTACTTGCCGTTCCTGCCAGCACTCCAGCCAGCTACGAGCTTCGAGCCTCCTTCAAACCGAAGGACCCTAAGTACCTGAAAGGTTAATGGCCTCCTATCCTTAGCACACTCATCTCAATATGGTAAGGGATCCTAACTTCAAAAAGCAGGGTACGCAAAGACCTTGAGGAAAGACAACTTTGGACTTCTTCGCGACTCATTGCTGCTGTCTTTCGCCAGTGCAAGCAACATGCGATTCTGAAATCGGCACTAGTGCAGTCCGCAAGTTGGTAAGCAAGCTTCTGCGCTTGGGAACTCTACTACTACGTGTAAATCAGCAACAATCGGACCCCGGAAGACTGATGCTTACAAGCCTCCACAGCGGCTCATGAGAGCGTCTCCAGCGAAAGCTGCAGCTGGCCGCGCAAACTGAGGCCATCCTTGGTAAGGAGTTGGGTGCCCATGCCATGGTCTCTGGCGTTCGTAACTTCTGGGCCTCGCATCCCTGCGCATACTGAGAGCTCCAAAAGAACTCGTTGGGTGCCGACTCCACATATATGAACCGGTCAGAACACAAGACGATGTCTGCCACGAACGAACGTACTTGCTCTCTTTAGCGAGCTGCAATGCTGCTGCTCTCTGCGACTACTCGGAAAGTGAAGAAACACTGCGCATCGTAGTGCCTCTGTGCACGAGCGATACTGTCTATCGAAGCCCCAGGCATAGGCTTCTTCTTCCTCACCCAGTGTTGAAACGGCATGATTAAACACAACTGTCTTCGAAAGGACAAACTCCGGAAAACTCCTGTCCAGAGAGGTCTGACTCTTGAAACCTCTCCTTTGCAGTGTACGCGGCATTGGACCGACAAAGAGACTCGCAAGCATCTGTCAGCGTGCCTTGGCGAAGAATCTGAGCTGTGTGCGGATCTAAAACTCTGCATCAATGCTGCTTGAACTGAGAGCGGGTAGACATTGACTGTAATTACACACTTGAGACTCAGCTATGGCATCCAGGCTGTGCCCGGAACTTGGGTTTCCATCTGAGGCTTGAGCTGTAGATGTAGGTGCAGCAAACCAATCGAAAGAGCCGCGGGGAGAAACCTTCCACAGCAGGTGTCGGCTCTCGAAAGGCAAGGACAAGGACACTCTGCAGCTGGTCATCATGACAGACCTCGGATACGGTGGTTCCTAAAACATCTAAAAACTGTGCAATAGAGTGCGACAGCCCCGGCTGCCTGCGTAGCATTGTGACCAGAGACTGCCCTTCTGGCGAAGGTCCTCCGAGCGCCCGTGAGTGAGTTAATCATCCCTGGCGAATTCTACTCGTGGGTCACAGCATCACGCAACGAGTCTTGTCTAGTCCATACCTGGTCCATACCCCCATTCCTACTTCGTCGGCTGCTGCTTGCACCTCTGTTGTGTACGAGCGGGTCGCTGCATGACAGGACTCAAAGAATACAAATCACTAGTATTAATATGACGCGCTGGCGAACGATATTCATTGAAACTAACTAGTTTTGTAAAACTTTTGACTTAGTTTAGTGACTTAGTTCCATGTAGCGAGCTCTCACAATCCTTGCATTCATGAGGACTTGTTGAAGACGCCCGGTCTTTGCACACCGTGCTCCAAAAATTAGCATTTCTTGCGCCAAAACCAAAATACCTGAACCCTTGGATCCTGAACCCGGCAACATCTAAACCCGTGCGTCCTGCAAAGCGTGCCAAGGTCCACGGATCCGAGTCGCCTGGCAGTCATATAGTGGCTGCATGCACGCCGCTTCCTACAAGGGTTCGTGTATGGGTTTCCATAGGGTTTAAGGTTTGCGATTCGGGGCATGTGCCACTGCAGCTGCCCAAAGGCACACGTGATCATGGTTCATGCGGTTGACATGGGAGGTCGAACGTTGCAACGTGACTAGGCAAATCCAGCAACGGTCCTACACGCTTGAACTGCATCCGCTGGGATGATTGGTGACCGGTGACTACTTCGCTCATGCTTATGCTCGAAGCTGCACCTGAAAACCGATCCCCACATCCAAATGTAATCTCGCTCCGAAACCCTTCACGAGGCTCGCAACTCCAAACAAGCCGTACGAGTACTTACAAGCAGTTGTCGGCAGCTCTCAAACCAAAAATCCTAGCTCGAAGCGGCTGCTGCATGCAAATTCGAAGGACCTCATTCTAAAAACACAGAATGAGAGGCCGGAGCCCTCGCTGTAACCTCGTAATGCCCAACCTTGACACTCCTCAAGCCTCCATCCCATCAACCCAAACCCGAACCTCTGCAGGTTCTCCGGGGCGGACAGGCAGGGCCTCAGCAACGAAGCCGATAGAGCTTCGGAGCTTGCTTAGGCTGGTCTGGTTCAGGTGACGGTATGCCGTCTGGACAGTGGAAGGCTCGGCGCCCTTGATCCAACTCGTGAGAAGCATTGTCCCAAATTGGTAAGAAAGTTCGTTGAACCGCAGACTCGGTTCCAAACTTCAGTCCAAGTCACTCCCGCTTGCAGCCGCGTCTTCAGCGTGTCTGCTGGATGGGACAGCGCAGCCCCCAACGACCCGGAGAAGACCTGAAACAGAGCGTGCGACTCGAAATTCAAATTCCGGGTCGAAAAGAATATTTGTCGCAATCGGACCCCAAGCAAGCTCCGGAGTGGGCTCATGAGGTTACAACCCCCGCCCCCACAGCCAAACAACGGTTCCGAGCTCCTCGAAGCCACCAGCGCAAAGACCCGTCTACTTATCAGCCCAGTTGCGGAGGACAAAACAGTCGCAGCACCATCAGACAACTCCTCGGAGCCGGTTCCGGGAAAGCTTGAGTTTCCCTTCCTCGATTCACGAACACCCCCAACAAATAAAACGAAGCCTTTTGGTGAGAAGTAGCCTGCTGTAGTCTTGTCATGGTTGGGCTCATTTCAATCATCACTACTGCTATTATCC